TTGGCTTCTAGAAGCTAAATTTTTTGGCTTTCAAAGCCCTTTTTTTTTCCTGGAAGCTTGTTTTGCTGTTTTAACCTAGAAGCTAAAAAAACAAGCTGCCAGCCAAAAATTTTAGCTTCCAAAATTTTGGCTTCTAAAAAGTGGCTTCTCGGAAGCTATAAGGGCTTCCAAGCGCACCCCAATGTCGGGCACAGGGAGTCGACCAAGAGACTCTTTCAAGTACTGAAGCAAATAAATCACACCGTCCCGACGGCAAAGTTCTTTATGGCTGAGGTCGCCCGTGATCGCCCAAGCACGACCAGTCAATTCGCTGACTATTCGAGGAGCTAAAAGATGATTACGCTTGCGCCGAGGGGTTTGTTCAAATGTGAGGCGAACCCTTCTGCAAAAATCGTTCCATGTGCTAGGCTCCCCGTCCCAAGTACAACGAAGGAAGGCCGTGTCGCGGCTATCTGAGGTCATACTCCCGGCGAACTCCCAGGGGCAACTCCAGAAGGAGGATCTTGAGCTTGTCGGAGCCGGGGGCTCCGCTGCCACAAAGAAGAGGATGTAGGAGAAGGAAACCTTCACGAATTTGAACGTGGGCTCACCCAACGTCGCGGATCCAAAGGCTCCCCTTGGATCAGTAGCGCTCCGCTACCAATCTCAAGGTCTGCCCAGAACCACACCAAAAATGCACAACTCCACCACGCACACGGTCGAGATCTTTTTCCAAGCCGTCACGGCTCCACGTGGTCCTGGCGACCGCAAACTTGCCTATGGCGTTGCAAAGACCCTAAGGGTACTCAGCTATGCGTAGCAAAGGTTCGGGCCAAAGGCTAGCCTGCGATCACAGCACTGGCACGGTTGGGTGCAGGAGTCCACTCCATGCTATGGTGCATGCCTTGACACACTGGGGCCGCGTTTAATCCTAACTTGATCCCTATCAAAATGTTTGCGTAAACGCTACCGCCTTTTTGAAAACATGTCATTCTTCAGCTGAGCCATGACAAAAATTCAGGTAACTAGGTTTTACATAGAGCTGGCACAATCTATCGGCCTGTGCCAGATCATGGGAAAACAATAAGCTACATGCGGCCCCAATCGGCCACACCAACAGCAATTCATTGGGTTTTCCCATAGGGGTGGAGAAAGGATTTCGTAAGCAAAGGTATGCGTATGGATCCGGTGCTCTGGTGATTGTTTTCGGAGAACTTGCATGAATGATCCCAAGAGGACATGCTCCTAAAAGCATCCACATGGCTGCTTTCGGGGCTTGATTTTTGGGTTAAGCCACAGGATTTACTCGACTTATGGTTGGGATAGCACATAGCCGGTTTGACTTGCATGTTGAGAGCCAGGGCTTCTGAAAACTTGAGCTTCCGCAAGCCCTTCCGCGAAGAAAGCTTCTGCGGAGCTTCCGCACGCACAGGAAACTTCGTTTTCGGACGAGGAGTTGCTGAGTTATTGTGATGCGCATTGATAACTGATCTACAGTATTTAAAAAAAACGCGGCTCACTTGTTCATGTACAATTGCTGGGGTCAAGGCGCGGTTCCCACACCGTTGAATGACTCGAGGCCCGCTGCGGCAGACGCAAGAAAGAAGAACAAGAGAACAACCCAAAGTCATGTCGCACTTTCTGCTTGTGGTTCGCAGTGCTCGATTTTGTGGCCATTTTGGTGTGCCAGCTTGTGCTTGCCTGTTCTGCTCAATGTTGCGCTCGATTTTTTGTTGCATCAGAGCGGCCAAAACTGAAGCTGTGCTCCAAAATGATTAAGTTTTAGCAACGGTGCAAGGGAGCCCCATTTCTGGACCGTCAACAGGCAAGTATCAACCCGACACATCTTGCCAATTTTAGCCCGCAATTGTCGCTAGACTCTGGCCACATCATGCCACATCAACAGATTGGGGCATGGCTTCAAGCGCGACAAGACTCTCCATCGTGTTCACTGACTTTAATCGCATCGTACCTAGTCTGTTTAGATTGTGCAATAAGGCAGAGGAACCCACACCTTGCCTCGGAAACAACCCCTCAGACAAAGCGCAGTTGCGGAGCACCTCAGACTGCGGATGATGGTTGGCATGGAGAACCCTCACAAAACATGTTAATAGACCTTGGCATCATTTGGCATCAACCCTACTCAACACCTCAGTTGGCAACCCCTAAGCTTGAACACATGAAGCCCTCACTGGAGCGCTTCAGCTCTGATTGCCTAGATAAAGGTTGATATTAGATGGCTGTTGTGGTAGTGGTCGTTATTGATGTTGTGACTTGTTCCTGCTGTTGCTGTTCGAGCTCTTCTTGCTGCTGTTGTTGTTGTTGCTGCTGCTGTTGTTGTGGTGGTGGTCGTCGTCTTTGTCGCTGCTGTCAAGAGTACTTCGCCTCTCTGCTCGAATCGCATGACACACAAGCCCGTCATGTCTCTTGAAAGAATACCACTATATACCACTACACGGTTCCGGTCCCAGTGCAGTCCGGAGGATGAACATGAAACTACCGGTTGTATTCTCAAGGGAGCGCGAAGCTCTGAAACGTCAGACGTGCACACCATTGCGAATCATACAGAAAAATCTTATGCCAGCGTGCTACGCAAGGCACAAACCCAAGGAGCGGCTCGTCGACAACATACGAAGGCACGGAGCTGAGCCTACGATAATTCGGAATCTCAGAGGTCCCATCCAACCATCTCAACATAAGGGACCCGGAGTTCGTACAAACCCTGGACCCAGACACTGACCTGGGTACTGTGGCGATCTGCACCACGGGACGAAGTGCTGTCGATTTCACGGAGACCCACAGGAAGGATGAGTCTCAATTTTCAGTGTGGCCCCTGGAAGGCCCTCAACGCCAGATCAACACAAAGAAGAAGCGTGGTGGTGCTGGTGCACCAAGACCTCTCTGCAAACCGAAATCATCCATGGAATCCATGGAATCCTGGAGACTGCTCCACGCTGGAAGCCCGTTCAGGCACGTTAGCAACAAATCTGGAGAAAACATGAGAAAACGTGCACGTGATTCTGCTCAAGAGAAAAGAAAGAGAGGCAACTGTCCCACACTCCCATACCCAAAGTCAGAGCCCGCTGGATCCACGTGGACCAAGACATAGGCTACTCCAATCAATCCAGGAGGCCAGTCTCCTTTGAGCACTGGCCACGAAGCAAGGAGTGCCAGCGGCCATAAAAGTGGATGGCCGAAATTTCAACCTCTACTTAGGAGCTACTGTCATTTGAACGCCACTCGCTCACAGAGCAGGATGCCAAGCAGAGATTCTCCCGTGAGCCGCCGCATTGGCCAGGCCCGATCCCCGCAGCTGAGCCACCAGGTATTTTTCACATGGAAAGCGATCAGGACTACAGCCGAAAGCAATGTCCCATAAATATGTTCTTTTGGCCGCGCTTGATTATTTTGCGTCCCGCCTCAGGAAATCCAAGCTCTGCTTCCAATGAAGATGCCTATAGCAGGATGATAATCTGATAACGTTGGGTATATTATGAATTCTGGAGTCTAGCGGTAGAGTCAGGATCAAGAAGCAGGTGTCGGGCACCACTGCGCGCATGACTTCCGCGACCAGGATCGTAGAAGTTTGTCTGTGTGCCTCCCTGACATTGGTGAGTAGGGGGGAGAACCTACCAACTGGTGAATGACCGCGGGGATTCTCGGCCTCCACGTTTCTGGCAAGCCTCTTCTGAGGCAATTGGCTAAAACCCCACAAGTAAGGCACAGCTTCTGCTTTCTGAGAATCCCAGACGCATGATTCTATGGCACAGGAGCGCTCTCTACCCTGGGCACGTTTCAACAAGTCTTTGCTTAAGCTCCCGCCCCATCATGGCCATGATAGGGTAATTACAGCTGCGGGGATCCACTACAAGTACCTAGAGGTCGTATGTAACGCTCTCTGATTCACCCAGCCTATGTAAGGTCGATGTTTTGCCAAAAAGCTTGCCTTCATTTGGCTTAACTCCGAGCAGCGTCTGACCCCAAGCTCAAGTGAGTCCACTCTCCAAGCACCCAACAGCATCGCAGCCATGCTCGGCGCGATCAAACGTATGCACAAGAAGCCAACGACGCAGAAGCATGGCAAGCAGGACAAAAACCAGAAGCTCAAAAAACAGTTGAAGGTGGGCGCGGCGAAGAAGCAAACATCTGCCACCACACCGTCGATCATCAAGTACATGTAGCCCTGCAAGGCAAAAATGCAACCGCTGTTGAGCTCCCTGTGTGCGCTTCAAGACTCGGGCATTGCGTGCTTGCTGTGATAGGCTGTTAACCCCAACTGGTGAATGAACTCGGAAGCTGTGCTACCAGTTAGAGGAAAATCCTGCCCAACCTGCAACTAAAGTGGCTCAGGAATAACGCCCAACTGCAGAATCCGTGTCGCAGGGAAGGCCCTCCACCCGATGCGAATCAATATGCCTGCACGTGAGAACCCCCACCCCCCCGTCAGGCCAAAGGAATTGATGTTGACAAAAAAGGTGGAGATGCAAGGCAAGGAATGGGCTCTCCACCCGAAGTCACTGCACAGATTTCAGACTGAGGGCTCACCCTCGTACACCGGCTTCTACATCATAACTGCATGGATGACCGCGTCATGCTTCAGCAGGCCTAATCCCTGCACAGAGGTGGCATAAACATCCTTCGTCTAAAATGCTTTTGCAACGGCAACAACAAGCAACACAGACTGCAGTCAGGCCCCGGCCAGGGTCTCCAGCAAGGTGCGTCCGGCAAGTAGCATCTCGCAGCAGCTAGCTGTCTGCCGATTAATCATGTTTAACTCCGGCGAGGATGGCAGTAGATCGCAACATGCTGGAGCATGGCACAGTGAAGTGCGTCTGTGCCTCCAGCTCCGCATCTTGGAGGCCAAGTCCTGTTACAAATTCCCTTCCCATACTTCCCATCTCAGTAACATGTCTGACATGACTAGTCTTTCCGGTGCTGGCTGCTCTTTCACATATAGTGTGCGAGTCGATTCCTGCTGCAGTGGCGTCTGTTGAGCTATTGTTCGCCAAGTTGCTTGAAGTCGTCCCGTTTTCTGTGTTTCCCTAACGTGTAACTTTTGCACAGGTTTGTGTTTGAGATCTCCAGCATGACGCGTAGGAAAAGAGGTACAGACCCTATGCCCATGGACGACTGCTCGTTCCTGCCGAGTCAAAACAGCGACACGCGCAGGTGGCATAGCATGGGCGAAAGTTGTTGCTGAGCAGTTTCACTGTCCACACGTTCTGATGATGGATGCTGGCTATAAATGAAAGGTATGGATGAAAATGCTGAGTTCACTCCCCTCGCACTTTGGGTCTCAGGGTCAGGAGGTTGTACAATTGGTTGCGTCAGTCAGACCCAGACTGCATCACAGGCCCATTTTTGTCAACTGTGCCGACAGACCGAGCACTAGAACAGCTTCTTCAGCTGTAGGCAGGCGTGATCAAGGCCTGAACTTGAGCACCATAAAGTCAATGAGCTCAAGCGGCAGAAGCATGGGAGTGCCTTAGTTCCAGAGCCCATTTTCCACAAACAGTGGCAAAGCATATGATATGGCAGTGCATAGTAAGGACCACACAAGGGACTCCACGACCGCACTATTTGACCTGCATCAAAGCGGCAGTGATGAGGCCCCGGCTTCAGAAACGCAGTTGAGAGATGTTGAGGTTGGCCACACTTGTTAATTTATCCTGCCTAAGTGAGGCGTCCAAGCGTAAGAGCACGAGGCGAACGCAGTTCCTTCCAACGCAGTGCAAGGCCGCCTCGCACATCCAAATTTTGCTGAGATTCTAGATGATTTCATGGAAGCCTATGTTGTGCAAAAGATGCACTCAGTTGGTGCAGTGCAGCTGCCTTCACTGCTGTGTCTGTGTCGTCTGGAGGCAGGGTGACGGCCAGCTGCTCCAGCATAGCACAATTGGAGGCAATGGCCTGTCTTTACTTGCTGGGGCCACCGAAGAGACAGCTTTCAATCTGGTGGGGAAATTCAGGTTGGCGACGTGTGATAGCTCCGACCGAGTTCAATGCATATCTAAGTGAGGCTACTCGCAGCACAGAGACATGGAAGCGATCTGCCTCCAGAGCAGATGCATAAGCAACATCCTTGATGCCATCCAGAAGCAGCTGCTCCAAATGCATGCCATAGGCTGAGACCTGGTTGCAAACCAGTTCATGGTGCTTGATAAGTCCAAGACTGAGACGGCTCAGTGGGTTGCGATGTTCTTGAGTGCTTTGGGCACCCTTGGAGCTGCCGCCTCGAGACTCGAGTCTGGATCTTTCGTGCAAAAGATCATCACCACCGCCCACCGCAGGGTATCCTCTGAGCGCGTCGACTGGCTTGCCCAGGGATGCAGCCAAGAGCCCCTGAGTCCAATACTGTTAATATCAGAAGCGAAGCAAATTTTCCTCGCCTGGCTGCCGTGGTTTGCATCATCGCCTGCTAGACCAGGGGTGAGAAAATCGTTTAGACAGCTGTTGGGCAGGTGCAAATGTCTCCAGCCTACGTTAGCGGAAGGCGGCAGTAGCATTGACGGCGGCTCTGGGGGCAAACGAGATGGTAACCTCTAGTTAGTTCACGGATGCTCGCAGCAGAAATTGCACAGATGGTGGGGTGTTCCCAGGACTCCTTGGGCCTGTGGGAGTTTGTTTGGCATGAGACGCTGCATAGGTTGGCCTAGCTTATGAGATGAAAAGTTATGACAAGAAACCCCGAGCCCTGGCACGTTCCAAGCAAAAACTGATTGCTGCAGGCTGTGTTTCTTGAGAACACGGCTTGAACAACAGTTCCTGCCAGCTACTGCAAGAGCATTGGGTCTCGACGCGCCCTTCTTTGCCTTCAAGGTTCACAGCCGAAGGTAATTAGATTCCAGAATTATTCCAGGACTCTTGACTTTAGGAGTTAGTTAGTTTGTTTGCTTCTCTGTGTGATTTGTACACGCAGTAGGTTCCACTAAAAGGATCGGCCAGAATCGCATCTCCCGTGATTCATTTCAAACTTGAAGGAGGGCAGGACGTTCATCACCATGCCCTTGTCCAAAGCCCAAAGCAGGGCACGTCTGAGCACCAACTACAAGTACACAATTGAACAGCCGGAAACCCCCTGGCGCAAATGCTGCTGCAATCACCCTCTGAACCTTAATTGCAAATACTCACAACGCCGAGCCCTCAAAGGTTGGACCGTTGAAGAGCCCTTGCCCTGAGACGTGTCAAACCATTTGCAAACAACCACTGGTGCAAAAGCACCTAACATTTCAATGGGCTCGCGATGAAAGCCAAGGCGCCCTGGCCATCTGGATGCGTTTCCAAGTTCTCACCGTTCCATTAGGCGTTTGCAACTACAAGCTCTCAGCACAGGGGTTTTAACAATGAACGCCTCAGATCTGAGGCTGAAAGACCCTTAAGACTCAACACTTCCACACAACCATATGCAGGCTCTAATTATTGGCTCTCCAAGGTCTGAGCAGAAATTCTTCCTGATCTACTCCTAACAGAACCTCCCCAGCACAGGGCAGCTTGTTTCAATGGAAATCTCATGGGAATCCCAAGAAAGAAGCCTTCAGCCAGTGCAGGCTCAGAAGTTCTTACTCCCACTATCTACTCCTTTTTCGTTTTGCTCTCAACTCCTATCATTTGATTCTAATTTGGACCAATTGAGCTGTGGCCGAAACCCTTTGAACCTTTTGTTCTTATTTGTTGTGCTGTCGCAGCCGCCAGTCGCGATACTGACGCGCCCAAGGAAAAGCTGACGCGGATGCATCTTTTTATAACTGTACTGACGCGAACTATCGCGGCTCAGAGTGGGAACCACCTTTTGGAAGACGCAAAGCTGCCAGGACCATGTAAGACATGAGACACACCCTGCAGAGCCAAGCACCAATGGAGCCAAGAACCAATGGCAAACCGAGTAAACATCTGCTGTCACGAAGACATAGGATGTCCTTAAGGGGGGGTGGTCTAAGGGGGGTAGGCAACCTGGTAATCCCCATTGAATATTGTTCCCTGTACTCCCTAAGCTTCCCTAAGGTTCCCCAAGGCGCCCTTGCACCCTCCCCCTTGAACCACCCCCCTTTAGGATCCTAGAAAAGACTATCGCCGCGGGAATGTTCATGTTTTACTGACGCGAACTATGGCGCACACCATACGTAACAGCTGACGCGGTCAGTCGTTACTTTCATGCTTATATAAAACTCCACATGGGGGTTTTTGGCCGCAGCTCAATTATTCACAATTCTGGAGATCTTTCTGACTCTAGGGGTAGTGCAGGGGTGCCGGCCCTGTTTGGCGGAGAGAACTGATTATGAATCTGTGGCCATCACCAATTTGGAGGCAACGGGGACAAGGAAGCACTCGAATCCTTTGCAGGGCTTCGTGCACTATAACATGACATCTTGCTCTGCTCTCTCAGTGATATGAGAGCCACACCCATTGCCCCGTTGATCCAGTCATTGGCAGGGCTGGCAGTGGTGCACCAGAATCGACGCCGGTATCTGACGAGTGCTGACGCGTGCTGGCACAAGTCGCTGCAAGAGCATAATGCTTGTTTGCTCTTCCTGCCCTTTTGTGATCCTTGCTCTTGGCATTGTGAATAACCATCTTCAGACGGACTTGCACTGTTGGCCGGCCATCCAACATGACCTTCCTAAAGCTCCTTGCAGACGCATATGCTGCAAAGTTGTGACGCACATCCCGGCCTACCACGACTGCACCGAGATGGTCCAAATCGATTCGTTTAAGGGGAGGCCGGCTGTCCTTGCAGCGCGGTGAAATCATATCCACAAGATGGAAGACCAAGAAAATAAAGAAAGCAAATGCGCCTGCGCTTGACATAAGATGATATAAGGTAGTCTAATCTGACATGTGAGCCGCCACAAACTGCACTATGCGGTCAATTTTGCATCCAGCATTCCCAGATGAGGGAATTTCTCTAACCATTTCACTCTCATCCACCTTAGGCATGAAGCCAACAGATCTTTTGGCCCAAATTGGAGAAGCGGCTACCTGGAGCCAGACCACTCAAGTCCACAGGACGCCTTAACCCAGCCCTTGTTGCAGCCGTGGCAGTCTTTCCTCTGCCAGACTTCAACAGGGGTTTATTTATACTTTACTTAGGTTTGTCAGGAGGGATTGTATGCTCTTGCAACGACCATGAGTCCATACATAGCTTGCACTTGAACGGCCCGCCTGAATTTTGTGTGGCAAGTAGCACATGAATTTGGCTGTGAGCTCGTTGCTTATTCCAAAGGCCAAGCCTCATCATAATCATATTTTTGCGGGCAACCAGCTGAGGTCCAGACAGTCCTGGTATCTGACAGGATGTCCAGAGCGTGGGCAGTGGCTCTCAAGCACCAGGATGCATTGAGACCTACAGGAAAAGCATAACGCGCCGCTGCCGCAAATTTTTTGCTGTCTCTCAATGGTGAAGTCACAGCAAAGTCAATAAGGAGGCAGCGCTCCAGGTGGCGACACCTGACACCAACCCCCAGGTGCTTGTCCAAGCCGGATTGTGTCAGTGGCTGCCCAAGGAGAATGAATCCAAGCAAGCAAAATCCAGAATCAAAGAGGAGGCGGATCCAACATGAAGCGCAAATGGAAGGCAGGTGCTGCGAGTATGACTACTTGAGGCGCAGCTTGCTGCAGCAGATCCTCCCTTGTACCGACATCACTCAATGTGAATGCCAACGGCGCCATTACTGCACAACTTCGAGGTCGGTACATGTTTATGTTGCGTGCATCTGAAACACGACACCAACTTTGATCCTCAAAAGGTCCTCAAGATTCAAGGCCGGCTTCAAGTCAGGAGGATGGCCCCAAGTTCTGCTGCGACCCATGTGCGTTCTCAAACAGAACATGAAATCTGTCAACAAAGCTTAGACCAGGGCTGCATAATCGCTTCAAAGCTTGCATCGGTGATCTCAGTGCTGCGCACCTGAAATGTTTGCATTTAGTCATTTAGCCCCATGTGTGGATTTTCAGACTGTCCAACGGAATGCTATTGTTTGGGATTACCTTTTCTGAGCTATAGGTAAGTCTGATTCGCTACCTCTCCACCCTTCTTTGCATTGGTCTCTATTACCGCCCTATCCTACAGCTGGCGGCAGGTGCCCTGGAGTTCTGTAAATCTGCGCTCGTTGAACGACGGCTGCATACATGGTGTCTCCCTAATGCTGTATGTTGGAAGGGCGTGCTTATCCGGGGCTCTCATCCTCGACAGATCTGTTTCGGCCATCTGAAATAACACTCGCTATGCTCAAAGGGGCGATCTCATTTGAACGCTGCCGCGTTGTTCTTTGATCGCATGCGGTATCTGATTGATGCTTTGCTCTGGGCTGAATTATGGCGAGCAACAGCTTTAAAGATGCCATTAGCCTCAAAAAGACAATTCGGTACTCATTACTTGTACCTACTTGATTGAACTAGGCCTATTTGTGTTTCGTTATCATTCATTATCCAGGGCTGAAAAGCCGTCAAGTCAGGAGGCTTGCGCATCGGAAATTTTTGGGGCCTCCCTGAGGCCCGCGCGCACAAGATCTGCAACCTGGAGCAAGAGGACACCAAGGAGCGGATTCCAGTATCCGTGAGCTTCGTAGTCCACCTGACACACGAGCAAACACCAGAGATTCTGCATTCATGGTCAAGGCCGGTTGCACTACTACGGCTGCTGCAGATGGTCTGAAGCGCACACGGACCGCCGTGTACCACTGACAAACTGCCCCGGCAAGCTTCATTGCCATGCTCTTACAGTCCAAGACCGGCCAGCACCACCCGACGTCGACAACTTCTAGGTGAGGCGCTCGTTTTGCAATGCTGCCAAGGCCACGGTCAGTCACATTCGTGCTTGACCTCAATGGCGTAGCAAACCACGAGGCGGCTGACAGCTTGCCTGTCTGAGTGCCATGCAAGCGAAGTTCCCGCAGCAGGGAGTGAGGATAAGCCTGCCAGAAAACTATCATTTTCAACATTCAAAGTCTTCTGCTGCGGTAGGTCTAGCTTGGCAGCCTACGGCGCTGCGCGGACCCCCATCTCTCCGAGCATAAGCAAACCATTAAAGGACACTTTCACTTTTCAGCGTGCTTTTGATTGAATGCTCATGCTACCTGCAAGGAATCCAAGCAGGCGTGAAAGCACACCCTGCAGCTTAAGCAACAGAACGTCCTTGTCTGGCTGATGCATGTCTAGATATCGGTAATTAGAATCACACCGAATCACACCGACAGAGAAAAAAGACTCTACCAGAGAACGGTCAGCAGGAAATGCACCAGGCCAACATAAACGATCGCCTTACTTAGCGCAACCCATCTACGAAAGATCTGCGCAGCATATAGCTATGCTTCGGAGGCCGCCATTGTTGACATATAATTGTTTGCAGAGTATACTTGAAACTGAGTGCAAGAGAATACAAGAGACGACCGACTGGCTATGAATGCAGAATCTTGCAAATCAGCTCTGATCATCAGTCTTCTAGTCAGAGGAAGATCCTCCTTAGCCAATCTTTACAGCACAGATTCCATGCAAAGATGTATGACAAGTATTCCGCTGACTGACTGATTGCGATGTGAGCTGGCCGCCTCAAAGGGCAGGTCGGAGAGCTGTGAGCAGAAGGACAAATCCAGCGCTTGCAAACCAAACTGGAAAAGCAACTCGGAGGCCACCTGTGCAAAAATGGAGGATCACTCTTCAACATGACATGTCAGCCTGCTCTATGGCGCGTCTGGCTTCGTGCTTTATCATGACCTTGCCACACGTCTAGGGCTGTGCGTGACTTAAGGAAGCAATACCTGGCACAGATCAAGTAACAGATGATGAGCAACTGCATGTTGTCATCATATGAGCGTTCGCCGAAACTC